GTTCTGCATCACTTTTGTTTTCGCAAAAAAACTTTTCCCTGCTCGTTTTTCAAAATCATGCCCATTTTCCTCTACAAATATTTCCAAACGCGTCGACCAGCTGTTCAATTACCGAGAGAGCTTTTCAAAGCAAATAATTGATCGATTTTGACAATTTGTTCCCTCATCAATCCATTATCCTAATCTCCATGTCAAGACCTTAACCTACAAACAAACGTACACAAATATATATTTTGTACTCCAAACAAACAACAAGTCATCATACAAATTAGCTTAGCAAACAAAAATATTCCGCTAACATACATTTTCGCCAGCAACAAATGTTATATCTCAATTATCGTGTGTTTTTTGATATTCTGAGGATACATTTCATTCTACACACATAAACGCCCAATTTGATTCACTTCTCCTCCAGTTGTTTGTTGTCATCGCATTTGTAATCGTTTGTAGAACAACTGGAACAACAACAAAAGTAAAAGTAGCCATTATAAATTACAACATTTTTTTAAGTTCCGAAGAACACAGAATATTTTATTTGGAAGTAGACACAAAAAAAATAATAAAGATTCCAAATTAGATCAAAGTCAATAGACTAAAGTAGAGGTATATTTTAATGGCAGCCAACCTGTGATATCGGCTACTTAGAGAAGAGACATCTAACACCATCTACCATACACTAGTGATCTCTCAGACCAGCTATTCTAAAGTTGAGGTCATTAGGTCCATTTATACTAAAGATTAGGCAAGTATGATCAGCATATCTAGAGTTGGAACCTCTGAGTCCAGCTACTCTAGAGCAATCTCCTCTTTGGAGTCTTACCCGAGAGTTTTGACCTTTACGCCCAGCTACACTAAATTACAGATATCTTTAGTCAGCTATTTAAATAAAGCGGGCTCTGTGGCCAGCTAATCCAGATTAGAGACCTCTGTGCTACGCAAAAGTAAAGACGTATGTATTCAACTCAAATGTAGAGGCCTCTGTAGTCAGGTATGTTACAGAAGAGACCTCTGTTGCCAGGTATGTTAGAGAAGAGCCCTCTGTAGTCAGCTATTCAAATGTATACCTCTTTGTGGCCAGTTAATCTTAGGTAGAAATCTCTGTGACCAGGTACGCTAGAACAAAGGTCTCTGTGGCCAGCTATGCTAGAGTAGATCCCTCTGTTGCCAACTGCGCTAGAGTAGTGACTTCTATAGTCAGCTACTCAAATATAGAGGTCTCTGTGACCAGCTAATCTAGATTAGAGACCTCTGTGGAAAAATACACTAGATGTCTCTGTCCAACTACGATAAAGTAGAGATGACACTAGAACAAAGGCCTCTGTGGCCAGGTATGCTAGAGTAGATCCCTCTGCTGCCAACTACGCTAGAGTGGTGACTTCTATAGTCAACAACTCAAATGTAGAGGTCTCTGTGGTCAGCTTCTCTAGTGAAGAGACTACTGTGGTCAAATATTCTAAAGTAGAGCCCTCTGTGGCCCAAGTCAGTTACTCAAGTACAAAGGTCCTTGTGGCCAGCTAATCTGGAGTAGAGATTTCTGTGACCAGTTGCTGTTGAGAAGAGGTTTTGCGGCCAGCTACTCTTCTAAATTATCGTCTGCTGCCAGCTACTCTAGTGTAGAGGCCTTTGTGACCAGATACGCTAGAGTAAAGACCTCTTTGGCCAACTGCAATAAAGCAGAGACTTCTGTAGTCAACAACTCAAATGTTGAGGCCTCTGTGTCCAGCTATGGGAGAGTAGAGCCCCAATGTGTCCACCTAAGCTAGACTAAAGACTTCTATAGTCAGCTTCTCAAATGTAAAAGTCTTTGTGGTCAGTTTATTTGGAGTAGACACTTCTGTCGCCAGTTGCTATTGAGAAGAGGCTTTGCCAGCTACTCTTCTAAATTATCCTCTGCTGTCAGCTACTCTAGTATAGGGCCAGATTCTTTATACTAGTGACTTCTGTGGCCATCTTCATTATTAGAGAGACCTCTGTTGTCACATACCGTGCAGTAGAGGCATCTGTAGTCATTTACTCAAATGTAGAGACCTCTGTGGCCAGATAATCTATATTAGATACCTTTATCGTCAGACACCCTAGAGAAAAGTCCTCTGTGGCCAGCTACGCTATTGCTTACTACTAAAATGTAGCGGTCTCTGTGGCCAAATTATCCATATTGGAGACCTCTGTTGTCACATACGCTATAATAGAAGCAATTCTAGTCAGCTATTCAAATGTAGATAATCTAGATTAAAGACCTCTGTTGTCAGATGAGCTATAGTAGAAGTCTTTCTAGTCAGCTACTCAAATATAGAGGTCTCTGTGGCCAGATAGACTAGAGACCTCTGTTGTCAGATACGCTATAATAGAAGCCTCTGAAGTCAGCTACTCAAATATAGAGGTCTTAGCGGCCAGATAATCAAGATTAAAGACCCCGGGCTTTCTGGTCAGCTAATGTGGAGTATAGACTTCTGTGGCCACTTACTCTTGAGTAGAGGTTTTTGCGGCTAGCTACTCTGGTGTTGCTAAATAATCTGGATTAATGACCTCTGTAGCCAGCGACTTTACTTTACCAGCTACTCAAATATAGAGGTCACTGCAGTCAAATAATCTATATAAGTGACATATGTTGTCAGATACGCTATCATAGAAGCCTTTCTAGTCAGCTACTCAAATGTTGAGGTCTCTGAGGTCAGATGTTATAGAAATAAAGAAATCTGTGGTCAGGCTACTCAAATGCTGAGGTCTTCCTGGTCAGCTAATTTGTAGTAGAGGCTTCTGTGGCCAGTTACTCTTGAGTAGAGGCTCTTGCGGCTAGCTACTCTACTGAATTATCCTCCACCTACTCTGGTGTAGAGGTCTCTGTGGCCAGATAATCTACATTAGAGACCTCTGTTGTCAAATACCGTAGAGTAGAGACCTCTGTGGATATCTACGATCTGTAGAGGCCTCTGTTGCCAGCTTCTCAAATTTAAACATCTCTGTGGTCAGATAATCCAGATCAAAGACCTTTGTTTTTAAATATGCTATGGTAGAAGCCTATCCAGTCAGCTACTCAAATGTAGAGGTCTCTGTGACCAGATAATCTAGATTAGAGACCTCTTTTATCAGATACCCTAAAATAGGAGCCTCTATAATCACCTACTCCAATGTAGATGTATCTGTGGCCAGATAATCTAGATTAGCGATCTCTTTTGTCAGATACCCTATAGTGGAGACCTCTGTAGCCAGATTCACTATTCTAGAGGTCCCTGTTACCATATACTCTACTGAAGTAACCACTGTGGCCAGCTACATTAAGCTAGAGGTCTATGCAGCCAGTTACCTTGAAGTATAGGTCTCTCTGACCTAATAATCTAGATTAAAGACTCTGTTGTCGGATTCATTGTAGTAGAATCTTCTGTAGTTAGCTATTCCAATGTAGAGGTGTCTGTGGACAGATAATCCAGATTATAGACCTCTTTTGTAAGATTCACTATAGTAGAGACCAATGCGGCCAGCGACTTTACTGAATTGGCCTCTGTTGCCAGTTACACTAGTATAGAGACCTCTGTGGCCACCTACACTAGACTAGAGGTCTCTGCGGCCAGTTACGCTTTTGTAGATGCTGTTAATGCCAGCTAATCCAATATAGAGATCTCTGTGGCCAGATAATCTAGATTAATGATATATGTGGTTATCTAAGCCAAAGTAGTGCCTATGTGGCCAGCTTTTCTGGTGAATAGACTTCTGTAGTCACCTAATCGAATGCAGAGGTTTTTCTGGCCAGCTAATCTGAAGTAGAGACTTATGTGGCCAAATACTATTGAGTAAAGGTTTTTTCGCCTAGCTACTCTACTGAATTATCCTCCGTTGCCAGCTACTTTGCTGTAGAGGTCTCTGTTGCCAGATAATCAAGATTAGAGAACTATGGGTCCATTTACGCTAGAGTAGAGACTTCTGTAGTCAGCTACTCAAATGTGGCCTGATAACCTAGAGACCTCTCTTGTCAGATACGCTAGAGTAGAGACCTCTGTCGTCAGCGACTTTACTGAATTGGCCTCTGTTGCCTTCTTCTCTAGTATAAAGACCTCTGTGTAACGCTAGAGTAGAGGCCCCTGTGATCAGCCACGCTAGAGTAGAGGCCTCTATGATCAGCCAGGCTATAGTAGGATCCTCTGTGGGCAGTCACTCTAGATTAGAGGCAGCTACGCTACAATAGAGATCTCTTTTACCATTTACTCTAGAGAAGGGCCCCCTAACTCCTCCCTTTCCACACTACAGAGACTTTTTCTTCAAACCTTCTCAAATTAGATTTTTTAATGAACACTTCTTTAAAAGATTTTTAAATATATTTTTTTTCAGTTTTGAAAATTAAAATAGAATCATTTCAAAATAGTTGAGAATAATTACGATTATAAAACCTCAACGATCATCATCATCATTTGTTTGGTCAGCTAGCAGCAGCCTACTTGTGGTTGTTAGCTGTGTGGTTGGTTCGTTCTCTCGTCCGCGAAAACGGTATGAATGAACACTTTCAGTTTTAACTTGTTTGAACTCGTTCAAACCAAACAAACAACGTTTTAGCCAACAGAACAGCCAACCAGCCAGCCAACCAACCAACCGCCTTCAAACAAAAACAAATCAAGGAACAAATAATTTGGATTATTAATACATATTGCCTATGTGTGTGTATTTGTGTGCGAATTAGTGTATGTTATAAACAAAACATTTATTATTCAATAATTCCGAAATAAAAACAAACAATAAACCGACGAAAAAAACTTCCCCTACGGACACAGATACCCAGACATAATTAACATTTCGTCAACATGCGTTTGTATTGTTCTTGTTTTGGTTTTAAATGACTGGCGGACGTACGAACAAAAGTGAATCTGTTGCGAAGAGAACAAACAAGAAGAATGATAACTTATGATTGGAATTCCACACCTGTCTGGCGATGTTGAATGCAGTACAAACGAAGCAAATCTGTTGTGGGATTTTTTTTTTTAATATTTATTTTTTTCTTCTTTCTTTTTTAGGGAAGCCCTGCCCCGCATGGATAATTACCGTATGTCCAAGAGGGACAAGAAGAGACCATCTATTGGCCAGCTTCAGTGTGAAGCTGTGGGAGAGGGACAGGTAAGCATTTTTTATGTAAACATCCACTTTAACAAGCCTTCAATTCTAAGACCGAATATTCAAAAAAATGGGTCTCCGTAATCAGCCATTTTGTAGCCTCTGTTGGCATCTACCCTTGAGCGGTGGCTTCTAAATCTAAAAACTCTATCCTCTCTAAAGAAGAGGATTCTGAGATAACTTTCACTTGAGCAGAGATCCCTGAGACCAGTTGCACTACAGCAAAAGTCTCACAGACCTCTACAGCTTAATTTGTGGTCAGCTACTCTAGGCCGGAGGCTTTTGTGCCCGACTACTCTTAAGCAGAGGACTCTAGGGCCAGCTATTCGAAAATAGAGCTAACTACTCGAAAATAAAGCCGTCTACTTGAGAGTAGAGGCCAGCTGATATAGAGTAGAGGCCAGCTACTCTGTAGTGGAGCTACTTTGGAGTAGAGGCCAGATAATCCATATTAGGGACCTCTGTTGTCAGATACGCTATAATAGAAGCCATTCTAGTCAGCTATTCAAATGTAGAAGTCTCTGTGACCAGATAATCTAGATTAGAGACCTCTGTTGTCAGATGCCCTATAGTAGAGATCTCTGTGGCCAGCTACGCCACTGTAAAGGCCTCTATTACCACGTACTCAAATATAGAGGTCTCTGTGGCCAGATAGACTAGAGACCTCTGTTGTCAGATACGCTAGTAGAGTAGAGACCAGTTACTTGAGAGTAGAAACCAGCTATTTTAGATTAGATGCCGGAGGTCATATACACCGGGTAGATGCCAGCTACACTGGAGTAGAGGCCAGCTACTCTGGAGTAGAAGCCAGCTACTCTGGAGTAGAAGCCAGATACTCTGGAGTAGAAGCCAGCTACTCTGGAGTAGAAGCCAGCTACTCTGGAGTAGAAGCCAGCTACTCTAGAGTAGAGGCCAGCTACTCTGGAGTAGAGGCCAGCCAAAAGTTGGCTATCCGAGATTAGATGCCGACTACTTTGGAGTAGAGGCCAGCTACTCTGGAATAGAGGCCAACTACTTGGGAGAAGAGGCCAGCTACTCTGGAGTGAAGGCCAACTACTCTGGAGTAGAGGCTAGCTACTCTGGAGTAGAAACCAGCTACTCTGGAGTAGAGGCCAGCTACTTTGGAGTAGATACCAGCTACTCTAGACTAGAGGTCAGTTACTTGTGAGTTCTCGAGAGCAGAGGCCAGCTACTCTGTAGTAGAGGTCAGCTCCTCTATAGTACAGACCAGCCACTCTAGAGTAGAGGCCAGCTATCCGAAAGTGGAGGCAAGCCACTGTGGAGTAGAGACCAGCTACTCTGGATTAGAGGTCAGCCAAAAGTTGGCTATCCGAGATTAGATGCCGACTACTTTGGAGTAGAGGCCAGCTACTCTGGAATAGAGGCCAACTACTTGAGAGAAGAGGCCAGCTACTCTGGAGTGAAGGCCAACTACTCTGGAGTAGAGGCCAGCTACTCTGGAGTAGAGGCCAGCTACTCTGGAGTAGAAGCCAGCTACTCTGGAGTAGAAGCCAGCTACTCTGGAGTAGAAGCTAGCTACTCTGGAGTAGAAGCCAGCTACTCTGGAGTAGAAGCTAGCTACTCTGGAGTAGAAGCCAGCTACTCTAGAGTAGAGGCCAGCTGCTCTGGAGTAGAGGCCAGCCAAAAGTTGGCTATCCGAGATTAGATGCCGACTACTTTGGAGTAGAGGCCAGCTACTCTGGAATAGAGGCCAACTACTTGGGAGAAGAGGCCAGCTACTCTGGAGTGAAGGCCAACTACTCTGGAGTAGAGGCCAGCTACCCTGGAGTAGAGGCTAGCTACTCTGGAGTAGAAGCCAGCTACTCTGTAGTAGAGGTCAGCTCCTCTATAGTACAGACCAGCTACTCTAGACTAGAGGTCAGTTACTTGTGAGTTCTCGAGAGCAGAGGCCAGCTACTCTGTAGTAGAGGTCAGCTCCTCTATAGTACAGACCAGCCACTCTAGAGTAGAGGCCAGCTATCCGAAAGTGGAGGCAAGCCACTCTGGAGTAGAGACCAGCTACTCTGGATTAGAGGTCAGCTCCTCTATAGTACAGCCCTGCTACTCTAGAGTAGAGGCCAGCTACTCTGGAGTAGAGACCTGGATTAAGGGCCAGCTACTCTGGAGTAGAGGTCAGCTACTTGAGAATAGAGGCCAGCTTCTCGAAAGTAGGGGTCAGCTTATATAGAGTAGATGCCTCAGAGCCCAGCTATTCTGGAGTAGAGGCCAGCTACTCTATAGTTGAGCCCAGAGACTCTAGTAAAGGTCAGCTACTTGAGAGTAAAGGCTACCAACTCGAGAATAGAGCCAGGTACTCAAAAGAGAGGTCAGCTTAAATAGAGAAGATTGCTGAAGGCCCAGCTACCCTGGAGAAGAGGCCAGCTACTCTAGTGTGGAGGCCAACTACATAAGAGAAGAGACCAGCTGCGAACATAGATGACAGCTGCTTGAGGGTAGTTGTCAGCTACTTGAGGGTAGAGGCCAGATACTCTTGAGTAGATGCCAGCTACTTGGAGGGTAGAAGCCAGCTACTTCGAGGGTAGAAGCCAGCTACTTCGAGTAGAGGCCACCTACTTGTAGTAGAGGTCAGCTACTCGAGAATAGAGCCAGTAAAGTAGATGCCAGCTTGTCGATAATAGAGTCAGCTTCTTGAAAGTAGATGCCTCAGAGCTCTTCAAATCTATAGTAGAGGCCTTTTAGTCAATTTACTCTGATGCAGAGGCTTATGGGGCCAACTACCTTAAGGCTCTGATGCTAATTTCCTGCAGTTGGGAACATTGAGTCCAGATTTGATTGTCTTCTAAAGCCATTTACTCTGCAATAAATGACTTTACAGTCCGTCACATTTGAATGCTAATTGCCTTCCACATTTATCTCTTCCCCCCACTCAGAAAAACAATCATTGACAATGAACTTTTCTTTTGCGCCACAGGCAATTCAAAATGTTTTCAAAAAGTACAATAACTTCTAAATCCCTGCATTTCAAAACATTTATGCAATTGAGACATTACCAATTCAAATGTTGTAATTGTTGATAAGACCTCGGCTAAAACATTCCAATTATCGAGGAACTCATTGAGACAATATTAAGGAAATTTTTTTAATAGGAAGAAGTATTTATTTACATTCGATTTACAACAAAATAAAATAAAATAACATCAAAACTGTTCCACTCAAACCGTTGTGAAGTGTTGTTGCTGTATTATCGCAAAAACAAAAACTGGGTTCTCAAGAAAATGACACACTTCGAGCGTGTGAAGTACTGGTATTTGCAAAACATCCGATTAAGTGGGGCATACAGAGAGAGAGAGAGAGAGAGAGAGAGAGAGAGAAATAAATAAAACCGATGATGGTAATATTGTTTCATTTTTATCTGGAAAATATATCAAAGCAGGTAAACAGAGTGTTGGAAAAATACGCTTTGATCAGAAAGGGGGTTTAGATATATTTACAACATGTCATTCAATCGGATACGTCATACTCAACTTATTTATACAAAGAAGATCGTTGCAATTAAATTTTATCATCAAATTAAACAATTCTGGATCCAAGGCCTAAGAGGCTTTTGATAATTCAAAAATTATTTCCGGTATAATAAATTCCATCTTTTCAAATTGTTGCCTAAACGGCAGATAAGCTGAGCAACAAAAAAGAGGAATATTCATAACAGGGATACATTTTGAGGATCTCTAAATTAAAAAAATCGCTGAAAATGTAGAATGCATGGTAAAATAATTTCAAAAAAAACATATCCATCTCTGCATTTTCTGTAATTTACCTTATCAAATTCTACTGCATAGAAATTAGGTTTCCATCTCTGATTTGGGTATATAGAGAGTGAGATGAAAAAACTGCAACCAAGTTCAGACTGCGCTTATTTCTAAGCCACTCGTCCGACAGATGTTAGCAACATCAGCTGAAATGGTTTGAAAAGTAAAGAAGCGATTTGATCGAAACACACAGTGGCCGAAAAATGGCTCGTGCGCTGAACATATCGCAATATTCCATTCACCAAATATTGAAAAATGAGCTCGGGGTAGAGCCATTGACATTCCAAAAAGTGCAAGAACTTACACCGCAACAGAACGAAAAAATAGACTCAAAAGAGCTAAAGAGTTGCTTCGCTTGGCCGAAAGGGGTGAACTGCGGAGTTTGGTTTTCTCCGATGAGGAAACATTCGTTGTCCAACAGTTTGTAAATAAACAAATCGTGATCCCGTTTACTTGCCAAAGAGGTCAGCTGAAAATGTGCACCTTTGGTTGGCCACAAGAACTCAAGCGCCGGCCATGGTGATGGTGTGGGCTGACATAACAGCCGATGGTCGCTCTCCGTTCGTATGAATCGACCGTGGCATCAGAATAATTGCCGAATATTATCGCGAAAATATTCTGGAGAGTGTATTAAAGCCTTGGGCCCGCAAACATTTTGGCTGCAGGCCTTGAACATTCCAACGGGACTCAGCACCATCGCACTCAGCACGAGCCACCCAAGAATGGTTACAAAATGAGGTTCCTCGTTTCATTTCCAGCGCACAATTGCCACCAAAAATCTCGGATACGAATCCGTTGGACTATTGTGTCTGGAGTATTTTGGAAAGCAAGGTTGGCACTAAAAAATATCAAAGTGTCGATCACCTCAAGCAAGCGCTTCGCTGGGAATGGGCCATAATACCGCAGAGCAACGTTCAGACAGCGTGTGACTGTTTCATTTGCCATAATTCGTGCCAATGGTGACCAATTCGAACAAATCTAAGAATATTCCAAAATTTGATGCTACTTCCTACATTTTTTGCTTTCATTCAATAGAGTCGATCAAGCGATATCTGTCCGTCAGTTCGTCTGTCTGGCTGGCTGGTGCGCACTCTCGAAGAGAGTATCTGATATCTGCTCCAAACTTGGTACATCGAAATAATATTGTCAAACTAAGATCGAGTTCAGAGATGGCGAATATCGGTTCACTCCTTCTAATACCTCCCCCAAAAAAGTTTGAAATGGTCAGAGAAA